TGTACTGGTCGTCGGGGTCTGTGGAGCAAGAGGGAAGGGCGGGAGTGAGACGGCCCCCAGGTGGCTTCCAGACCCGAGGGGACACGGCACGCCAGGCGTGGTGGGGAGGGGATGTGGCTCTAGGGACCCGAATCAAAGGGAACCTGCCGGCTTGGGTGACAGGCCAAGGGCCTCGCCCTACTCCCAAAGCCCAGACATGCTGCCCTTGTCTCTGAGGTGACCCACGGACCACGAGGGCCAGGAGGAGCTCTGGTGACAACAGTCCACGCGTGCCCTCCTTCTACAAGGAAAACACGGCGTGGGGGACCCTGGCACCTGAGCCAGCGGAGGTCCTGAGACCACGTTAGGATGAGCAGCTGGAGGAAAAATCAGTCTGGGACTCCCAGCTCCTGCAAAAATCTCAAAGCCCTGTGGGGCAGGTCCACCGGCGGTTAAGGGTGGGATGAGAGGCCCCCACGGAGGTGACAGAGGCTGAAAACCTTGATCACTTTTGCAGTACGTTGGGGGGAGGCCAGGCGGTCCCACGTGCCAGAGACCAGGTCTGGGGCACCAGATCGTGCAGAGTAACCACTGTCCTGGGCCTGGCCCCCCCCGGAACCCACGAGGGGGGCTGTTCTGGGGCTGAGACAAGACGGCACAGACCCCACCACAGGTGAGGCCGCCCTGGGAGGAGCAGGCTCCCGGGGCCACGTGGCCTGGCGTGCCCCGAGACGCCCAGCTTGCTTCCACTTCTGGGGTTTTCCCTACGGGCCCGTGTGGTGGAGCTGTCCTTTCACAAAGGAAGAAATCATCTGGCCAAGGGGGCCGGGCCGGGATCCCAGCATGGGGGGCCAAGCAGGGCGTGTGGGCAGACCCAGACCCAGGGAGGAGAGAAGAAACTGAGGGCAAAGCAAGAGGCCTGGCGGCACCGGCCATTCAGCCGTGGCCATGCTTCCCCCACAAAGAGGCCCCTTTGGTGGCCCTGTGAATTCGTCACCAGAGTAACACAGAGTCCCCGAGGGCCAGGACCCTGCCTCCCTCCTAGGTCTGGATGTCCCCTGAATGCCTCAGACGGACTGAGCTGCAGATTGTGTCGGCAGATGGGCAGGTGCCGGCCTGACCAGTGTATGTTGCTGCACAGGCTCTGGGGACTTGGGGTGACAGGAACCAGGACCCCCGTTAGCAGCAGAGGGTCCACGCGGGGGTAGCAGGAGACGAGGGAGACCAGCTATTTGCTTCACAAGCACCGTGTCCATCACACAGCGGCAGCTCGGTGGCTTTGGGGCAGTAAAAAAGGCCCAGCAAAGAGTTTCCGAGTCCCACAGCTCTGCTCACCTCTCATGTACTCCACGGTGCCGTCAAGCACGAGATTGAGCAGTGGGTCGAACCCTTTCAGGATGCCGCTGGCTTGTAGGAACCACCGAGGAGAGAAACAGAAAGGCGTTAGATAAGCGGTCGTTCTGGGGACAGGTGCACAGAGACGGGCTCACCCCCAGAAGGTGCAGATGTGGGGAGCAGCCTCTGCAGGGACGGGAGAGAAGAGGCACCTGGGGGAAAGTGAGGGAGGGGCTCCAGGAGGGGAGCCGTGAGGATGACCCCAAACCACCCCTACCACAACGCGGTGGCAAATGTCTCCTGCAAAGGGCCAGCTGGTGCACATTTCAACCGTGTGGGCCCCATGGTCTCCATAGCAACCACTCCGCGCTGCCTTCCTGGGGCGAGGCAGCCAGAGGACACGGAGACACTCGGGTGAGGCTGTGCCACGATAAAACTTTACTCACGGATACAAAAACGTGCAATAATCGTCTCATTTTTTCAAATATTTAGAATTGTTAAAAACCGTTCCCAGCTCACGAGCCATGGCATACGGCCACACGGAAAGGAGCGGAGCACCAACCGGCGCTGCCGTGTGATGCAGCCTGAAGGCACCCCCCCACCTGCTCAGGCCTCCCCGTCCCAGGCACAGTTGGCGGAAGCGGGCGTCCCCCCGAGTCACTGCAGCTGTAGAGTCTGCACCGAGAACGGGGCTGGACGTGACCGGCAGCCCCGCTGGTGTAGGGTGCGGTCTGCAAACTATGGACCGTGGGCCAAGTCCAGCCGCGGTGCTTCTCTGAGTGGCTTGGCCAGCTCACAGCCGCGGTCACTTGCTGACGCGCGGTCTGTGGCTGTTTTCCTGCTCCAGGGGCAGACGTGACAGCTCCAACAGAGACGGTCTGGCCCTTTGGGAAAACGTCTGCCAGCCTGACTTGCTGGGTTGGAGCCCCTGGCTCTGTGGCTTCCTCTCTCCCTGCTTGTGTCCCCCCCCCCCCGCAAAACAAAGGTCACGAGGACACCCGATGGGGTTACAAGCAGTGGGCACTGCGCCTGCCCCTGTGGGTCTGTCCTCCCCAGTGGGGTGCGAGCCAGTGTCCCCCACCCCAGTGACCACCTGTGGGAGGGGACCTGTGAATATGATGGGACGTCACTCCTGTAAGTGGGTTACAGGACAAGGAAGATGAAGGAATCTGCAGATGTGATTAAGGTCCCAGAACCAGCGCACTTTCAGCTCCCCTAAAGAGAGGCTATGCTTGGTGGGCCTGACCTGATCAGATAAGCTGTTAAGGGAATAGGAATTTTGTAAAAGAAGAAACTGGAAGCGTGGGAAGGATTTTCCTGCTGGCCCCGAGGGAGCAGACTGCCATGGTGGGGACAGAGTGCTGTGGCAAGGGCTGGCAGGCAGCCTCTAAGAGCCACGAGTCCCTGGACACCTGCAGCAAGACACGGGGACCCCAGTCCTACAGCCACAGGGAATTGAATTCTGCCAACAACCAGCAGGGCGGGACGAAGGCCCTGGGCCTGAGATAACAGGCTCCTAGACACTCCTTTACTGCAACCTGTGAGACCTGGAGCCCCAGGCACCCAGACTCCTTCCTGACAGCCGCCACGAGACAGTAAATTTGTGTTGTTCAAGCTGCTAAAGTGGTGGCAACTTGCTATGCGGCATAGAAAGCCCATACAAGCACCCTGAGAAACGAGAGCTGCGTCTTGTTCACATGTCCGACGGCCAGCACGGCGCAGACAGAGCAAACACTCGTCCAGCTTTGACTTCTCACTGCTGCCAGCTACCTACACTTGCAGGCACCACGCTCTTAACCACACTGGTGCCAATCACCTGCAGCTCGGGATCGCCGTCTCAGGAAACACACTGAAGGTCAAAGAGGCAGCTGAAGAAATGAAATGTTGCTCAAGGGCTTGCTGGTGTCAGGAACCATGCTAAGCGTGCCTCCAGCCCTGTAACCCTCATGGCCCGGTGAGGCAGGCAGAGTGAAGAAATGAAGAAACAGAGCCCTACGGAAGGTAAGCTGCCCAAAGTCCCACAGGCAGTGTGCCAAAGAGCTGGGGCTCTGACCCCAGAGGCTAGGCTGCAGGGCAGCCGCCATGCCCAGGCCACACTGCCTGTAAGCATGAGCAACACTGGGCCTCGTTCCTGCCCTCTCCTCACCATGTTTCAGGGGAAGATGCAGAGTTCAGTGTCCCGTTTACCTGCATAAAACGGGGAACCATGACAGACGGTACTAGGAGCTTACACCAAAGGGGCGCGGCCCACGGTGGCGGGTCAGGGAAGGCTTCCCAGAGCAAGAACCTTGAGCTGAGAGCAGGAAAAGGACTCTGGAGTTAACCTGGAGTTAAAAAAGAGACAAGTGACCCCAAACGGAGTCAACTGTGCCAAGCCCATGCTACCAAACCAACACTTAATACCTAACCTAACTGCAGCTTCAGCTCTCCCAGAAACGCAATCTCAACCAATCAACCTGGAATTTCCGGGCAGGCACCACTGAGCTAATCCTCCTGATACACCTCCACCGTCCCCCCAAGGAGGGTGACCATGCCTGAAACAATCCACTCTTGCCTGTTCCCGCAGCCTCCCGCCTACAAAAACCTCCCATCCCGTATAGCTCCAGGAGCTCCCTTCTGTCTGTATGGGATGCTGTATGACTCAGGATTAGCCGAAAAAGCCAACAAGATCTGTAAAATTCACGCAGTTTTCTACTTCAACACCGGTAACAAGGTAGAGCTGGCAGGAGCACTGCAGCAGAGATACCTCACAGCCCTGTGGTAGCTGAGGGCTCCACGTGCTCCTCAGAGACACACAAGGCTGTCCTTTCCCCTATAGCACTGCGGGGAGCCTGGAGGGGCTGACCCGCGCACGAGAAGAGTCCGTTTGTGTTTAACAGGTCCGTCTGCTCCACACTTAAGAGACTGACTGTAGGGGCAGTGGTCTCAACCGAGGACAGAGCCGGCTGGGTTGTCAAAACTCAGGGATGCTCCCGGCATCTAGGGGCATCCAGGGTTTGCTGCTCAGCAGCCCGGAGCGCCCCGGACAGCCCTCGCAACCGAGAACAATCCGGCCCCAAAGTCACGAGTGCGGAGCCCAAGGAGCCCGGGCGCAGGGGCATCAGTGACCAGCTGGGACAGCTGTCCGGGAAGGACTCGGAGAGAGGAGCGCGCAGCAGGCAAGCCAGGCAGGTCGGGACTCCCAGTCCCGGCGGCACCAACGTGGCTCTGGGCTGTTCGGACCCCTTCCCGTGCCTCGGTTTCCCCGCGTGCGGAACGCGAGGCACAGCTCCGAACCCCTCGGCGGAGTTAGGAGGCCGGCTCGAGTTTCCCGAGCAAAGCGCTCAAGGCGGTGCCCAGGCATCCGCCACCATCCTTCCTCCGCCGTCGCTCACCCTAAATCGTTTGCGGGGTGCGGGCAGCGGGGTCTCACCTTCGCGGCCTCCCTGAAACTTCACCCGAATCGTCTTGTCGATGTACTTAGACAAGTCCAAGATGCTCTCTTTTTTCTTCTTCTCTTTGTCCTGCAGGGGAAGCAGAGCGCGTGAGGCGTAGAGCGCGGCCGGGTCCCACGCCGCCCGCCCTGCCGGCCCTGCCGCGCGCTCACCGCCATCTTGCCGCACCGCGCCGCTCTGCGCAGGCGCCGCCGCGCGCCCTTTGACCCTTCCTCCGCGCGCAGGCGCAGAGCTCACAGGGCGCAGGCGCGCCCGGGCGCGCCGGGGCGTTGCTGGGAAACATCTGGCGACGCCTGCGGCTCCGACCGGCCGACATGGCGGCGGCGGCGGCGGCGGCGGCGGCGGCGGCGGCGGCGGCGTTGGCGCGGCTCGCGGCGGCCTTCCTCCTCCTCGCGGCCCAGGTGAGGCTGCGTCGGCCCCGCCGGCCCCGCCGGCTCTGCCGGCTGCGGCACCCGGCCCCTCTGCCCCGGGGGCCAGCCTCGGGTTTGCGCGCCCCCCGCGCGGGTGGCCCGCGGGGCCGGGAGCCGGGCCGTGACCTTGCGCGCCTGTCCCCGGCCACTCTCTCCTCCCCGCCTTGTAGCCCTCCCCACCGGCAACGTCACTCAGTTGCGTCTGGGTCTGGAGTTTGGGAGCCCCCCTGCCTCCCCAGGCCCTGCTCCGTTCCGAGGTGTCCAACCGCCGCCGGCGACACCCCTGCCTGGCTGCGTGGTCTTGGCCAGGCGGCTGCCCGTCTGCGAGCCTCAGTTTCCCCTTTTCGCGCGATGTTAGCGCCCACGTGCGTGGTTGCGGTGAGCCGTCCAGCACGGCACCCAGTGCCTGGCAGTCTCGGGGAGCGGCCGGGAGCCCATCCCTGGAAGTGGGGTCGAATCGCCGCCCCATCTTCTCTCCGGTGACCTTGGGCAAGGGAGGTCCCCCCTTTGGGTGGCAGTTGCTCCTCTGCAGAAGATAGAGTACAGTGAGGACTGAGCGAGGTGATGCACATGGGGTGGTTTATGTGCAGCGTGCTCCTTCTCGGGCACTTAAAGTTAAGGGTCTCCGGGGCTAGTGGGGGGCTTGCCACCAGCCGGCTGATGTACCTACATTATCGTGAGCGCGTTTTTTATTTGCAGGTCCTCCCTCCCTCCCTCTCCCCTGGGTCATGCAGCTCTGGGAACGGTGTCCCTAACGTTAAGCCCTGCGAACGCAGCCATTCACCTTGACCTGTCCACCCCAGCCCACCACCTCTCTACTGTAGCCTCAGGTGGCTGGTGCTCTCCCACATCCCCAGTCTATTCCTGACACGGCAGGAGCGATGTCTTTGAAAGTGTGTCAGGTCTTGTTGCATCCAGATGAGAGCCTTCCTGTGGCATCCAGTGCATGTGGGAGGCCTCTGTGGTTTGGCTGCTTGGGAAGCTTCCCCTCCTTCTCTAGTTTGCTGAAGGCATCCTGGTCTCTGGTCTTCCCCGTGTCCCTGGAATGCCCCTGGTCATCTCTCTGGTCTCAACTCAGTTTTTCCCTCCCCCACCCCTGGAGAAGTTCCCTGGGCTGCCCCTCCCCCAGCTCTTGGCTGAGCCCCCATACCTCCCCCAACCCGACTCCCTCATTTTCCTCAGCAGTCTAAGCAAGTCAGGGGTAGGGACATTTTGAATGAGAGCAAAATGACAAGTGGACACAGGGTAACGGGCGCACCATGGAGGGAGTGACCTAGTTTGCCTGGGAAGGTTTTGTGGAAGCAGGGGCACCTAAGGGGTGTTCTGAAGGATGAACAGGAGTTTGCCAGGTCTCGGAGGCAGAGGGAGGGTGTTGCAGGTGATGAGCAGCTTGAACAGGGGTGAAGGTGTGAGAGCTGATGACTTATTTTGAGCAGGTGAGGAGTCCACTCTGGCTGGTAATGCAGGGTGGTATAATGCTTACACCCTGAGAAAGAGGACACCCCAAAGGAGGCCCTCAGGTGCACTTGAAGGGAGCTGGGGTTGCCCCTGCAGCTGAAGGGAACAGGGAGGGGGCAGCAGGAGTGGCTCCCCGGAAGAGGGTAAAGGGCAGGCCAATCTGTGGCCTCCCTGGGCTGGGCTGGGCAGATCAAAGGCAGATGGTGGAAGGCTCGTGGTGCTCCTGGGCAGGCTGAGGGTTTTGAACTTTGTCCTGTGTGCAAGCAGAGGACGGTGTCGGAGCATGTGATGAGAGCCCTAAAGCTGGTTCTTCCCAGAACAGAGCCCGGGCCTGTGTGTTTGTCTGCCCTGAGATAGGACAGGCGGCATTGTGGTGGGTGGGTGTGGTTCTTTGCGGAAGTTTGGGTCCCAGCGCCTGAGAATAAGACTAGTCTTCCACTGCCTGGGACGCTGCTTGTGGGCAGCCCTGAACTCATTTGCTACCATTTTGTGACCCTGGGAGAGGGATTCCCCAAATATACAGGTCTCCCCAGTGGCTACAAGATGTGCACATAAAGACAGTGGTGGAGGCTGTCACTCAGCAGATCTGAAGTCACGTTGCTGCGCTCCCACCCCTTTCCTCCCTTCTCCACTCCGTCACCTGTCTCCTCTGCCCCTCCTCCACCTCTCCCTGCCCCTCATCTGCCTCAACATCTCTTTCCAAGCTTCCTGGGTTCTTATTTCTCCGCTCTCTTCTAGAACTTACCAAGTCTTAGAAAGACGACTGCTTCCGGCCTAGACTCATTAGCTTTTCTTAAACCGCCTGATTGTGGAGTGCCTGTATGGTCTCCCCGAAGCATGGTTTCCCTAGACGTTCCTGAACCCGCTTGGTGATTGTGATGTGTCAGAAGGTGGCCTGTCTGGTAGTCCCAGTGATTTCTGGCTCTCCAGCTTGGGATGGGCCATGCTAGACTGAGTAGCACTGGGTCCTTTTGAAGAACTTCTGATCCCCTTAACTCCATGGGGGAGGAAACCATACTCTGGCATTTGACATAAACACAGGCTGATTTCCTAATGGGAAGCTGGTCGTGCAGACTGTGGGGAGAGGGGTCCGTGAGGTGGGCTTCTGTGCTCCCAAATGACCTTTTTAAAGAGAAGCAGCTTCTGTGCATTCCCCTTTCACACAAACGACACTTTTCCCCCACAACCTGGATCCCACAGAACAGGGGTCAGCAGTGTCCTGAAAAGGGCCAGACAGTGAGTATTTCTGGCTTTGTGGGCCACATGGTCTCTGTCGCAACCACGCAGCCCTGCAGGAGTCCTGAGAGCGGCCAGAGGCCCTGCATACAGGAATGGGGCAGCTGTGTTCCAATAAAACTTTATTTAGAAGCACAGAAGGTGGGCTGCATGAGGCCTGTGGGTTGAGAGGTCCTCTCTTCCCCACCATGGCCCATGGTAAGGAGGCGCCAGGGGTTCTGAGCTTGGGGTGACCCTTTGGAAGGGGGGTACAGCCAGGTAGAGCACTTAGGGCCAGGTTGAGGGGTGCCCTTGGGGGGGCAGTCTGGTGGAGAGAACGGAAGAGAGGACTCCTAATGCCTCTGGTGGAGGGAGTGAGGTGACACGTGAGGTGCCTGGAGGTTGGCCAGAGCAGGTGGAGGAAGGGCGCGGCCTTCGTGAGGTGCTCTAAGACCCCTGGTTGGCCTCGGGCAGCATCTGGCCTTGCCCTCCTGAACCTGGGTTCTGGGAGCTCAGTGCACAAGCATGGCTTCCCCGCACACCCCCAGCAGTGCACGAGGCGTTCGATGTCTCCCTCGAGGCAACAGGCCACGGCGTCAGATCGGAGGTGCCCGCTGGAGGAGCGGTGGTCGGGGACCCTGGGGAGGACCAGGGCGCGCCCCCCCCCCCCCCCGCGCCCCTGCCCGCCTGCCTGCCGCGGGGTTGGGATGCCCTGGGGCCTCCATGCTGCCGCCACAGCAGCGCGACCAGGGTGGGGTGAGAAGCTCCTGGAGTGGCCGGGGCCTTGCTGAGCTTCCACCGATGGTCTGGCCGAACGGAAGCCAGTCACTGGCCCAGGCCTGGTGTCGGGGGCCGCGGTCCATCAGGAGCCTCGGCCCAGTCAGCTGCACGCTCTGCCCCCACGGCGAGGCGTGCGTCTTGCGCCCGGATCCCATCAGGCATCTGTGTCAGGCAAGCGGCTCTAGGTGTTTGGCTCCTTGGCAGATTCTTGGGGTTCCAAGGAGGGGGTTTTCCATCTTAGTCTTGAGCGTTTGCAGCCTAAGGAGAGCACAGGCTACAGAAGCGTGGGCCCCAGGAGCCCAAGGTGCGCAGAGCAGGCTTCCGGGCCAGGTGTGCAGGGCTCCCTGGGGGAGTGGTGGCTGGACTGACCCCCTCGGCTCCTAGCACCGGGCTTCTCTCCTGAGACACCCCCCCTCCCTCAGCAGGCCCCCGGGGGCTACTCAGACTTGGGGTGAGCCTGCCTAGGGGCAGAGCCACCAAGACCTGGGCCCCAAATGCTGTGTGACCTGCTGTTGACGAAATCCAAGGATAGAGGCTGTGCTTGTGGGGGGGCCCTTTGCCCCAGCCCGAGCCCAGGGTAGGGGAGGAGGTGGGAGAGGGCCCCCTGCACTCCGGTCCGCCAGCCAGCCAGGCAGCAGCTCTAGGGAGGGGTGCAGTGGTTCAGGCAGGAGATGTGGGTGAGCAGGGAGTGGGGACGCCTTTGTGTGAAACAATGGCTTTTCATGGAGATTAAGCCGGTGTTCAGCAGAAAAGATGAGAGTCAGCCCCTCTGTCCCAGGCCCCCAGCCATTCCACTGTCCTTGAGGGTTGTCCAGTGTTTCGAGAACTGTGGGTCCTGCCCCTGTGCCTCGCTTTGAAGTCAGACAAAGCTTGCTGGGTCCTCCTGACCCTCTGGGTGTGGCCCTTCCCGAGCAGCCAGCTGCCCTGTGGGGGACCATGACGCTCTAGCTGCCCCTTCCTCCTTCCGGGAAGCTGGGGCTGGGTGGGGAGACAGGCTTCGCTGGCTCGGGGTTGTGGGGAGCGAGCTGTCCGTGCCCTGTTGGTGTCTGCATGGCTCTTCCTCCGTTGCAAAGTCTCAGAGTTCCCAGCCCCAGAGCCGCCCGCCCTGCAGACTGCCTACTTCCTGCCACGCCTCCGAACCTGGCGGTCGGTCGGTCCCCACTGGGATCCCACTGGTCTGTGCCTGGCAGGGGCCAGTCATGTGACCAAGGCGCCGAGGTTCCCCTGGAAAGTGAGGTGTGGCATGAGGGCCCGGAGCCGGCTGGCCTCAGCAGGTAGTGCCCAGTAGGTAGGCTTTCCAGGAGCCTGTGGGTCAGGGGCAAGGAAGTTTCCAGGCCTGGCAGGCCTTGCCCTGTGTTCCTGGCCTCCAGCCACCACCCAGTCCTCGGGGTGGATCTGCGGGCTCACCGTGTCCTCCTCGTGACGGAGCCATGGGGTGTTCATTCTCCCTGTGCTGTCAATCCTGCGAGGGCCCTGTGAGGTGGTGCTGTCCCAGCCGTGGGAGCCACAGGGAGGGGACCTCACAGGGTGCAGTCAGCACCGGGGTCTCCCTGGGGAAGCCCGTTCCCGTGCTGGCTGCCCTGCCTTGTTTTCTCCACCGTAAGATGTCTGTGCTGGTGTCCCATCTGTCCTGTAGGAGGGAGGAAACCAGCCTAAACCCTGGGCGGGGGTGTCCTCGTTTGGCTCAGACCCTGCTGCTTCTGCCGAGCTCTCTGACCACTGCCTTGTCACTCCAGGTGGCCTGTGAGTATGGCATGGTGCACGTGGTCTCCGAGACAGGGGGCCCTAAAGGCAAAGACTACTGCATTCTCTACAACCCACAGTGGGCCCACCTGCCACATGACCTTGGCAAAGCGGTGAGTGCCCGCTGGGGCCCTTCCTCATGCGGGTCTTCCCACTGGGGTCTTTCCTTGTGGGCCTGGCAGGCCTGGAGGTGCTCTGGGGCGCCCCCTCTGGACTTGGGGTTGGGTCTGTCCTGCTGACTGCCACCCCTCTGCTCCCCAGCCTGGTCCCTGGAGGGGCTGCTAGACATCTCATCTTGCAGGGAGCCTGCTGGAGGACAGAGGAAGGGCCTCAGCTGCGAAACCAATGTGGGGGTCACACTCCAGGGGCTGCTGGGGTCTCAGATGGCCTCTCTGGGCCTTGGTTTCCTTGGTCAGAAACAAAAGATGTCCAGGTGTTGTGGAGGAATGGCCCCCACCAGGGGCACTTGCCAAGCCCCCACACACTGGACCAGGGCTGGCTGGCAGAGTGGTCCTGAGGAGTGAGGACTGGCCGCATGTGGCATGGTGTGTGGGTGATTCTCACCCTGAGGCCACCGCTCCCATCTGCCGTGGAGGCAGGGAGGGTCTCCCAGTGGGCCTCCTCTGAGCACTCACCCGCCTCTGTCCCTCCTATTTGCCTTGCACTTGGGTGTGTGTACGTATATGCTCGTACATGTGTGTGTGTGCGGGTGCAGGGGCGTGTGTGTGTGCGGGTGCAGGGGCGTGTGTGCGCGCGCGTGTGTGTGCAGGGGCGTGTGTGTGTGCGCGCGCGTGTGTGTGTGTGTGTGCAGGGGCGTGTGAGTGTGTGCGTGCGTGTGCCCCTCCCCCCCGTTGACTTTTCTAGATCAGCTGGTGTAAGTGCCACGTTCCCCAGTCTCTCCTGCAGGTGCGGGACTGGACGGCCTCCGTGCTCTGCTCTCCACCCGACCTCCCCGCCAAAGGCTTCAGCAACCAGATCCCGCTGGTGGCGCGGGGAAACTGCACCTTCTATGAGAAAGTGCGGCTGGCGCAGGGCGGCGGGGCCCGCGGGCTGCTCATTGTCAGCAAGGAGACGCTGGTATGGCCCCAGGAGTTGGCTGACTGTGGCGACGCATCGTCTCGGAGGGGCCGTGTCCCAGAGCAGCCCTGGGGGTTCTGTAGGGTTGTCTCCTATAAGGCCTTGGGGCAGAGCTCTGGGGGTGCCTCCTGAGGGGCAGGTGGCATCCCGGGGTAGATTGGCACCTTAGCGACCTGACCCCAAGGCTTAAAAGTGGAGAGCTTCTCCTCCCCCAGTGGGGAGAGACAGACAGACACACGCCACACACACACCCCATCTCTGCTCCCCCCACAAGTGGGCTGGCTCTGCGGGCCCTGCGGTTGGGGGGCAGCCTGTCTCTCACCCCAGGTGGGCCTTGGTAAACCGTCCCATCATTCCCGCACCCCCTCCTCTTGGCCCCCAGGTGCCCCCAGGAGGCAACAAGACACAGTATGACGAGATCGGGATTCCCGTGGCCCTGCTCAGCCACAAAGACATGCTGGACATCTTCAAGGTAGGGCCTCCTGCCCCCTCCAGTCTGCACCTGGTCTGGCGCCGTAAGTACCAGGTGGGCAGGGACCCAGGAGCGAGGCTGCCCACTGGGGGCTGGTGGGTGGGTGGTTCCTGCCACACTCGTCACCAGCTCCCCGGGAAAGCCTGGCGGTGCCACAGAGCAGCGGGAACGGAGAACCGGCCCCAGAGGTCAGAGCGCCCAGGGCCTCTCTGCCACGCAGCCACTGGGCACTGGCTCCCAGGCCGGCCGACCCTGCCCACGTCTGGCCCTGTCTGACCAGAGGCCCGTGTTCACCCACGGTTTGGGGAGTTGATTCAGGAGCCGGCAAGCTTCCAGACACAAGCAGAACGGGAACGTTCAGTCTTTGTGGGAGCGTCTGCACGTTTCCATCCTGACTGCAGCTTCCACAGCTCTCCCCAGCCAGCCAGACGCTTCCCAGGCGATGTGCCCTGTTCTGTGTGTGCACACGCGTGTCCAGGTTTAGGGCTTGTGTCTCCACACGTGCACGGGCCCCTCACCTGACCTCGTGGGAAGCTTGTTCTGCCAGAGTTGATTTCCTTGGGGTGGGCGTGGTGGGTGAAGGCATGGGCTTTGGGGGTCCCCCCGAGACAGGCTCTCCCTGGGCCATGGCTCTCTGGGGTGGGCTTGGGGACAGGGGACGGCGGCTCCAACCTTGAGCTCTGGTGCGTTTTCTGAGGCAGAGTTTTGGCCGAGCAGTGAGGGCAGCGCTCTACGCCCCCAGCGAGCCCATGCTAGACTACAACATGGTCATCATCTTCATCATGGCCGTTGGCACTGTCGCCCTCGGGGGCTACTGGGCCGGGAGCCGGGACGTGAGGAAGTGAGTGCCCAGGGAAGCCTGTGGCGGGGCCCGTGCTGGACGGGGTCAGTGGGCGGCCCCGGCGCTGGACAAGGGGGTCCCGTCGCTCTCCATCGAAGTGGCTGTGGCTCTCGGGGGCCGGGGGCCCACCTTGCGACCCCTCACTGCACAGTCTCGTGAGGTCCCTGGGGTCGGCCTGGCGCTCTTGTGGATGACAGGGCAAGGACACGCAGCGGGCGTGGGGGGGGGGTGCCCCTTGGCCCTGCCGCTGCCTGTCCCCACCCTGTCCCGGGGCCCCTGGGCGCTGTGCCAGCCGGCAGGGTGTCCCCCAGCCTCGCCTGTGCCTCCCAGAAGGTACGTGAAACACAAGCGGGACGACGGGCCCGCAAAGCAGGAGGCCGAGGCCGTGGACGTGAGCCCCGTCCTGGTCTGCGTCTTCGTGGCCATGTGCTGCTCCGCGCTGGTGCTGCTGTACTACTTCTACGACCGGCTCGGTGCGTCCCCGGGGGGAAGCCGCTTGCTTATGGGGTGAATGGGGGCCGCCGGCCCTCCTGTTCGCCGGGAGCCGGCCCCCCTGCCCAGGCGCGCAGCCCCGCGGAGCCCTTCCCGGGGGCGGGGTGGGCGGGGCCCCGGCGACCCCGCCCCTCAACGCCCGCCCCGCCCCGCAGTCTATGTGACCATCGCCATCTTCTGCCTGTCCTCCTCCACGGGCCTGTACAGCTGCCTGTCACCACTGGTCCAGAGGCTGCCATTCGGCAGATGCAGGTAGGCCCCCGTGGGCGGCCCCCGCCCGGCCCGGCACCCACGGCTCTGCTCGCCCCAAGTCCGTTGGCCTCCCGTCTCCTGGTTCCCGAAGCTGCAAGCTCTGCTTGGACGGTGCCGAGGACGCCCTGCCTGTCCCGTGGCCCCGGTCTGGCACGGCGTGGGCAGGCATCCCACGCTCTCTCAGCGCTGCCCGGGGCTCCCGGCCTCAGGAGCAGGGCAGAGCAGGGCAGAGCAGGGAAGTGGGCGGGGGTTCTCCGGCCTCCCTCTCCCTGCTTCCCATCCCGTTCCAGCTCAGGCCCAGTGGGGACAGCGTGGGTGCTTGTCGGTCCCAGGCAAGGGTGGCAGGGCAGGGCCATGTGGGCGCAGGCGCTGCTGGTCCAGGCCTGGGCGGGGGCGGGGGGCTAACCTGCCAGGGGCCTGGTCTGGTTCTGAACAGGCCGGTGGCCCACCGCCGAAAAGTTTAGACGAAGACAGATGGGTGCTCAGAAAGCTCGGCTTGTGGGGTGAGGCCTTTTCAGGCTGCTGTCCAGGGTCAGAGGTCAAGGGACTGCAGCAGGCGGGCAGTGGGCTCCTGTGGGCAGGGCGCTAGCTGAGGTCTGCCCACGCCTGAGTGCTCACCCCGGCTCTGCTCTGGTCTGCCCTGGGGGACCTCCCTTCTGGAGACGCCATAAGGCGTGAAGATGGATGTTAATAGGGAATGTGGAGTGGAGGAGGGGGCAAGGCAGGGTGGTGGGGAAGGGGTGAGGTGAGCCCCGGGTGCTGGCGGCAGCAAGGAGCCGGCTGCCCCTGATGGCCGCCCCGCTCCCAGGGTCCCCGACAACAGCCTGCCCTACTTCCGCAAGCGCCCTCGGGTCAGCATGCTGCTCCTCGCACTGCTCTGCCTGGCCGTCAGCGTGGTGTGGGGAATCTTCCGGAACGAGGACCAGTGAGTGCCACCCCCTCTGCGGGCTGTCCTCAGACGCACCCTGGGCCTCGGCGCCGCCCCCCCCCCCGAGGCTGCGAATGTGGGCCGTGTGGGGCCCGGTGCTGCTGCCCGCATCCGGTGTCACCGTGTTTGTCTGGCTGCCACATGAGCGGCGGCGATCGGGATCTGGGTACGAGATGCCGCCAGCCCTCCTGGCCCCGGGTGCCCCGAGCACGTGTCCTCCAGGGCGCCTCAGCGGGGCCCGGTGCCCCAGTGCAGGGAGGCCTGGAGGCTGCAGGGCACCCCCCCCGCCGCCACCCAGCCCCTCTGACACCATCTGGCGCTCCCTCTGAGCTTCTTGTGAGGCCGTCAGCCACTCTTGGCTGCGCTGCCGCTTGGAGCCCCGACAGATTTAATTGGCAGAAGGAAAACGTGAAAATATTTTGAGTCCTTTGTACACAAAGAGAACGGGAGCTCTCACAGTTAGACTCAAGCCAGAAGGCTTGCTCCGTTCTGTAAAATTAGAACAGGCCCCGTTCCCACCGCGTCTGGGCGCCCACTGGCCGCCCGCGAACCTTCTCTTTGTCCTTCACGGCCGCCCTGCCCGGGAGAGGCTTTCATCCTGGTTCCACAAGGGTGCCCTGGGTGTGGGTAGGGGCGAGACTGCACACGGCGCGTGTGGCCCTGCGCTGGCGGCTCCCTGGCGGTGCTGGGGTCACACGTTTGCCTCTGCGTCCCCCCTGCCTGTCTGTCCCTGAGCCCCTGTCTCCCGGGCCGAGAGGTGGGGTGTGGAACCTGGCTGGGCAAGAGTTTGACTTTTCTAAATCGTGTAAAAAATAGTTTTAAAGAGAGATTTGAGTCCAGTAGCTGCACGACGCCCCCGTGCCCGCCCCATGATGTGTGTGTGGTGTCGGGGTCGGCAGTCGCTGCCCCACCTGTGCCCAGCGCAGTGAGGGGCCCTGCCGCCCTCCTCGGGGCCCGCGCCCGGGGCGTCACAGCATGACGGGTTCAGCTGGGCAGGGACAGCTCGGGAAACTCTGGCAGCTGAGGCGGCTGAGGAAGGAGTGACCGGTGGAGCCCCTGCCCCAGCGGGTGGCCACCACTCTGCCTTCCAGGTGGGCCTGGATCCTTCAGGATGCGCTGGGCGTCGCCTTCTGCCTCTACATGTTGAAAACCATCCGCCTCCCCACTTTTAAGGTGAGCGCCCCGAGGACGTGGGGCCGTGGGCGGCGGCGTCCTGAGGGCCTCCTCCATGTCCGTCACGTGCCTCAAGTGGCTCAGGCCTGCCCTCACCTGCTTGTGCTTGGGCGTCCCTGGCCCTCCGTGGGCAGCATGGTCTTTGTGCCTCGGTCTCTCCCGCCGCCTCCCCAGTGACAGGGCTTCAGGAGCCGCTGAGATCTGCCTCTCAGCATGGCAGCCACGCCAGTGACCACCAGGCCGTGAGGAGGCCCGGAACCCTGCCCGGGGGCGGCCACTCTGCAGGGGGGGGGGGGGGATGTTGCTCATATGGGCAGGCGGGTGCGGTCGGCGGCCCCCAGCCAAGGCCCCAGGCCGTCATCCCCGAGGAGGAGCACGCGGGGAGCCGTGACGGGCTCAGCACCCCACGTCCACAGCGACCGGTCACACAGCGTGTCGCCCGAGCCCCACGCCTCCCAGCTTTTCCATCCCCCAGAAACCTTCGCGAGCCTGACCTCGTGGTGCTGGGGACGGGACTGGGTTTGCACAGATGTCCCCTCGTGGCTTTGGCCCAGCGGCACATCTGAGCCTTGTGAGGGGGCGGGAGGGGTGGGACGCGTGCCGGGGTCCGTGGGGGTCCGTGCGCCTGCCGGCACCTCGCGCGGCCATCAGGACCTCGCCTCCCCAGGCCTGCACGCTGCTGCTGCTGGTGCTGTTCGTCTACGACGTCTTCTTTGTGTTCATCACGCCCTTCCTGACCAAGGTGGGCGCCCCCACCCGTGCCCCGCTGCCCCAGCCCCAGCCCCGCGCACCCTCCTCCCTGACGCGGCCCCCCCCTTTGTTAGAGCGGGAACAGCATCATGGTGGAGGTGGCGACCGGGCCCTCGGACTCGGCCACCCACGAGAAGGTATGTAGCGGGCCCGCGGCTGGGGCACTGCCGGTGGGGGGCGGGGGTTGGGGCGGTCCTGGAGCCTGCTGCCCCCTCGCCCCCCCCCCCAGCTCCCCATGGTCCTGAAGGTGCCCAGACTGAACGCTTCGCCGCTCGCCCTATGTGACCGGCCCTTCTCCCTGCTGGGCTTCGGGGACATCCTGGTGCCAGGTACTGGAGCACGCCGCGCCGGGGTGGGTCCCCGGGGAGTGTCAGGCCAGGGCGGCCGGCGGGTGCAGACGGAACGGAGCAGGCGGGGGCGGGCGGGCCCCGGGCTCCCGGGCTGCCCGCGGCTGCCCTTGGGGCGGGTCCCTCCTGCGCACTGCGGGGTCTGCGCCTGGCCGCTGGCTCGGTGGGCCGGCCGTCTGCAGGAGCAGGGACGGCGCAGGCTCTCACCCGCGCCCGGCCCACGCCCCTTCTCCCCGCAGGGTTGCTCGTGGCATACTGCCACAGGTTCGACATCCAGGTGCAGTCGTCCAGGGTCTACTTCGTGGCCTGCACCGTGGGTAAGCACCCTCGAGCTCGGCCCCGGAAGCGGGCTCGCCTCGCACCCTTCTTGCGTCCCCATGACTCTCGAGGTCGCGTGTCCTTCCTTGTGTTCTTTTGTCTTTCTTCTGTCCTTGTTTCTCTGGTTACCAAAGTCATTCACGTAGAAGTGACCTTTTCTGTGGAGCCCTGATTGCTTTTAACGTTTTGCAAACCGACTGGATTGCCTGCCTCTGGTCAGCCCTCCAGGAGGAGCCGCGAGCTCACCCGATGGCGCTTGTCGGTGTGCACGCGTGCTCCCCCCCAACCAGGCGGGAGGCACTCTGACCCCCTCGTGCGTGGGGCGGGGGGGCAGCATGCCTGGGCCCGGCAGCCAAGCCCGGCAAAGGGGAGGCCCCAGGACGACCCAGGCTGACCTTCCGGGTGCACTTCGGGGTCGTCACCGTCTGCCCCTTCCCGCCCTGGCTCCTGCAGGCGCGGGCACGCCCCCTCGTTCCACTCGCCATCCCTGAACCTCCCCTTGGGCCTTGCATCCTCGCGATGGTCCTTGAAGTGCCGCTGCGGGGTTCTGTGTGAGACCCTGTTTGTCAGGTGGTTTCTGTAGTTCCTTGTCATTGAAATTGCACACCTTTTATCGGCAGCAAACACCTTTATTCCTTCGTAGTTGGCTTCTGTTGAACCACTTCTTTAGGACGCGGGGTAAGTGTCAATAGCGCTCTGCCCCCGGAGCGCCAGGTGAGGACCAGACAGGAGCCGCGGGCGGAAGTAGGTGCTAGAGACCAGCCGTGAAGGTTTGTTTTCTCGTAGCTCTTTCCTGAGGTACCTCAGGTCGCGATCAGGACGGGGAGCCGCTGTGTGGTGTGTGAGTGAGCACGCCGTGCTCGTGCCGGACAGAGAGCCGACCCCCTCAGCCCTCGCCGCCTCCCCGGCTGTTTGACGAGAGCGGAAATGCCCTTCTGTACCACCACAGGCCACTTACCGAAGTTTGGATTTCCTGGTTTTGTGCATACGTTGCTTGCGTTCAGAATTGTCTTTCTACTTGAAGGCCTAGAGACCGGGACAGTCAGGCGCGGTCACAGGCCTTTCTCTAGCGGCCTCCCTGGGTCCGGGGCCTGGGCCTCGCTGCTGCCCCACGGTCGCCCCCGCCGGCCTCATGCCCGTCCCAGCGCAGCAGGGCGGGAGCGCGCGTCCAGAGGAAGCCGGCCGGTCCGTGCGCGTGCAGCCCTCCCCGTGTGCCCCCTGTGCGGCGCCCCACCTCCCCGGTCCCGGGTGCTCCTCGGTCCTGCTCCGGCGTGCCCGCGGCGGGGGTGCGGGGCCGTCAGCCGGGGTGACACGCGGCCCGTCTCTCTCCGCAGCCTACGGCATCGGCCTCCTGGTGACGTTCATGGCGCTGGCCCTGATGCAGCGTGGCCAGCCTGCTCTCCTCTACCTGGTGCCCTGCACGCTGATGACAAGCTGCGCCCTGGCGCTCTGGCGCAGGGAGCTGGGCATGTTCTGGACGGGCAGCGGCTTTGCGGTGAATACCAGTTTGATATGACTGTCTGCGAGCAGTAATAACCCAATAAGCTCTAACTAGAATTACAGTTGAGTAAAACCTCCCAGTTTCACGACTAAACCCCACAGCCTGTGTCCCGTGGTCAGTGTTTCCCTGTCCCCACAAGGTTTGCTTTGCTGTCATGTCCCTGTGGCTCTGACCCTCCGGGTGTGGCTTGAGCACGGTGCCAGTCCCAAGGGGCGGTAATACCCCATCGGATTGGACCTTGGCTTCCGGCTGTTCCCACCGTCAGGGACGCAGTGCTGAGCTTGGGGCCCCGGAGCTCCTCTCCAGTGTGGGCTCACGGCGCTCGTCTTGGTGCTGCTGGTGTTGGCACCAGAAGAGGAGGGGACTGGAGGCTTCTCTTACCGTAACATCAGGCCTTCGGTGTGAAAGCACAAGGTCTCGTGTGTCCGCGCCCCAGGCGGTGCTGACCTTCTCCCGCTGCGTGTCAGTGAATCATGGGAGCTCCGAAGGGCCCTAGGCATTTCCCGAGTGTGACCCGGGGCCCCCAGGGTGGAGCCTGTTGAGCTTGTTGTGGAAGTTGAAACACGCGTCATCTCCATTCCGGCCTAGAGACGCTGAACGGAGCAGGGCTCCAGGGCACCCCATTAATTAACCAGACGATATAACCCGGTAATGGGAATTTTCGCCCTCCCCCGGACCCTCGGGGAAGCACCCCAGCCTCACTGCCTACCGTCCTCAAAGGGTCTCAGTCCCAGTGAGCGCTGGTTTTGCCACAGAGCAGGTAGCTTAGTTCTGGAGGGTTCAGGAGGTGGGGAACGAGCCAGACACGTCAGAGTCAGGGTTTCTGCTGCAGCTGGCCATCCCGTGGCCCGCCTGCTGGTGGTCATAGGTGGTCCCAAGGGAAGGTGGCTCCTGGGCCTGGAGCTGGACCCTCCGGGGATGCTGACTCCTCCGCCCTCCCACCCCAGGCTGTCCCCCGGGCTTTGCTGACCAGTCCCACGCCTGACTGCAGCCTCTCTTACAGAAGGACCTACCTCAGTCTCCTTGGGCGCCATCTGCAGCCGAGGACCCGCAACCTCGGAAGGACTCCGCCACCGGCCTCCCCCAGCCGCCTCCAGGCGAAGGACTGGCCAAGTGCCCCCCGCCCATGGAGCAGCCCCCAGAAGTGTCCGCGCCCGAGGAGACCGGGGCCGGAGCACCCCCCCAGGAGCCCGTGAGCCCCGCAGGCCCCACCCCCGAGCCCACAAGCCTGGTAGGCGCCTCGGCCTAGGAGGTGGCGTAGACTCTCGGGCCCTCGCTGCTGCCCCACCACGCTGAGAGACCCCGAGACTGGACCTGCCCGGCCCCCCCAACTTGGTGCTCCGGTCTGGCCGATGCCCCTGCTCTTCCTCCTCCTCGAGCCGAGCCCAGCTGCAGCCCAGACCCTCTCCAGCTCCGCTCCCAGCTCACGTGGCTGCCGCAAGCCCCTGCCCCCACTCTGGCCCACGAGGTCACCATCAGCGTCATGCGAGCGCCCAGCTCCACGGTCTTGCCTGTCAACTCGGTGTTTCCTTGGCAAGGGCAGGAAGCTCCCCCTCCGACCGCCCACGGCTGCAGATCGCCCACATTTGGTGCTTACCACGCTGCCGCTTCCCTCAGGTTGTTGCCCGCACCGCGCTGGGCCAGACACTGGTCGGCAGAGCCCCGTAGTGCAGCCCGGCTGGTGTGCGTGCCGCTGGCTGGCCGGGGCCAGACCTGCCTCGGGGTCGGCGGGGGCCGCGCAGGAGCCTCTTCCGTCCGTCTGGGCCGCCCGCATCTGTGCTCCAGCTTCGCCGCCTGTTAATAAACGGCCACGACTTGTTGAACTCGGGTGGTGTCGCCTCTTGGGTCTGAGTCTCTGGGACGGCCCTCGTCAGGGCAGCCGGGCGCCCCGTCCATGGGGCTGCGTCCTTCCCGTCGGCTCCGTTCTTTCAACTTAGAGGGATTTGGGGGGGTGCCCCCACCCTCCTCATGACATCTGCACGCTCCCAGCCCCACCCCAGCCCGGCCTCTAGGGACAACACTGGCCAGGCGAGCGCAATTTTTGCGCTCCACCCGGGAGCTTCTGGAATGTGGAGAATATTCTGGAACTGGCATTTTGTCTTCTACCTCACTGACAGGGTTCTCCGAACGTCACGACGGAAATGCTGCAGTAGGACTGGCCGCGGGGCGGCGGCCCCCACACCGTGGCACGTGCCGGTCCACGCAGCCTCCAGACTCAAGCCCAGAAAGCTGTTTCCACCGACGTGACGTGAAGGCACAGATCCCCCAGCCACGCGGTCCCAGCTCTGTCCCCTGTCTGTCTGCTGCTCAGTTGCAGACAGCAGGCACGGGATCAACCATGATCCATTCCAAAAAATACCAGCGCCAGACAGACTCACACACAGCCTTTGTTAGCCATGCTGCTCTAAGAAGAAATGATGTTTATTCCAAAAAAAACCAAAAACGTCTCCCACCTGTTTGTGTGTCTCTTAAAACAACAGGTGACCCGGGAGGGAGACCAGTCGGCCCCAGAGAGCCGCCCGACGGGGAGGCCAGACCGGGGTGCAGGGTCTGAGCGGACCGCCCCCACACCGACCTGCACGTCCCTGACCTAAGCCATTTTGTACGTTTTGGTGTAGGAGCCAGAATCTCTCCGTTCTCCGTGTTTGACAAGCGTCGGGGGATCCGAAGGCGGATGTTCGTTCCTGAGGTTTCTGTGTTCCGTCTCTGCTCGCTTCTGTTTGAATCTTACAATTAAACGCAGCTTTTGAGAGCCGCCGCTTGGCCCTCATCTTCTCCGCGGTGTGGCCCCGGCCTGCAGGGTCGGCTGTGCCGAGGTGCCGGAGCGAGTCCACAGCGGCCGTGTGGGGCTGGGGTCCTGATTCGCGGCATGAGAGAGTCAAAGGAAGCCTGGCCGCCTGTCGCGGGCCCGTGGACTTGGTGTGAAGAGCTAGCTGGCCGGCGGCTGGGGTCTTCCGGCCACAACTCGTTGGCCCTGCTGCTGCAGCCACGTGACACAGCATGTGGCACACTGGCGTGGCCACGGCCAGGACGCTGCCGGACACGGAGATACGGAGTCCCACGTGCTTTTCCCAGGTCATGAAATAGCCTCCCCTGGATAGTTTTCACCTAGTCAAAAAGGTGCAGCCCTTAGTGAGCGTCTGTGAAGGTTGCCCCCCCCCCCCCCCCCCCAGCCCTGCCAGCTCCGGTGGTGGCCACCAAGCTCTTTGCGGGAGAGAAGGCGTGTCTCCACGGCCACTCCACTAGGCTGCGTGGGGCCGACTCCTCCAAGACCATCCTGAGACCAGGTGCTCAGCACTGAGCACCGAGGGTCCCCAGCCAGGCCGCAGAGCCTGGGGGGCTCTGGTGGGCGCACCCCTTGGCCCACCAGCCCTGCTCGCCCTGGACTGGTGCTGGGCCATGCCTTCGCGAGGGTGGCGAACGCAGCGGGTGCCCAGGAGGGGTGCCCCACACGCTTGTTTTCACGGGGAGGGGTAGCACAAGTTGGCGCCGGGGAGACTGAGTTCCTGCTCTGTGGTGGGGCACAACTCTGCGTGGACGTGGGACTGCAGAGTTGGAACGGTGCTGTGAGGACAGCGATTTTCTTTTACTGAGTTGCAGAGCTTACGTAGTTTTCATTAACTATTAACTATTCATTCCATCCGTCTTTACTGAGCACCTGCTGCGTGCCCCCGATTCCACCTGGGGGTGCATGAGTGAGGCTCAGACCCGCTCTGCCCCAGGTGGCTGAACCTGGGGAGCTGGGGAGGGACAGGACACAGGTCCACTCGTGCCTCTGTCTTTGGGGGCAGGCAGGCGTCAGGGAAGGTACATGGGGGAGGCAGGTGGGGCCTCCGGTGGGGAGATGAGCATGGCTGGTGGGAGGGCAGGGGTCGCTGGCCACATGGGGAAGGCATGGCCCATGTCACCAGCGGGTTGGGAGGCAAGAACCCTAGAAAGAGCCCAGCGGTGGCTGCCCTGTGGGCGGAGGAGGGTCCCCCCCCCAGTGCCCCAGCTCAGGGACAGGTGCAGCAGTGGGAAGAGCCCGCTGGCTCTGGAGTCCCGGCTGCATGCTGGAGCTGAGTGACCTTGGTCGCGTCACTACCCTCCCTCTGGGGCTGAGCTGCCTCTTTTGCCAAAAGGCACGAGAGATGCTTCTGCAGGGCCTGCCTCGGGAGATGGGGCCACACGGCAGGCGGCTGGGGCCCGGAGGGATTGCTCCCTCTCCAGCACCGTGCTTGGCTCCCCGTGGCTTCTAGTGCTTCCCACAAGAGGACGTCCCCGCCTAGGCCTGAAGATGTTGCCACCGTTGGTGGTAAGACAGCTGGTCCCTGAAGGCAGTTCAGAAAATATCCCCAAAGTGTCTTGAGCGAAGATGATGGTTCTAATGAAGGGGGTGTTCTCCTGGGCCAGCGCGGAGGCAGGCAGTGGGGGGTGGGGAAGGCTGGGCTGCCGCGTGGCGGTGGCAGGTGCATCAAAACCGAGGCCAAGCCACTGCCCCAGCCGGGCCGTGAGAAACACACCAAACCCCAATAGAAGGGCATCGTGCAGACCCCTACTGGCCCTTCCCCGACGGCCCACGGCATCAAGATCGAGGGGCCCGAGAAACCCTCCCACCGGAGGGGCCACGAACACAGAACAAGTGCTAGGGAACCCGGGAATCCGAATAAAGTGTGGATGTTGGCTCATAATGTGTCGGTATTGGTTCGTGGGTCGTGACAATGTCATGGCGCGAACGTAAGGTAGGAAACTGGGTGCAAAGGACCATCTTCACACCTTGACTGTAAATCGCAAGCTGTTCCACAAGTTTATTTTTTAAAGTATCGTAGTTATATTCACACACACCCCCATCCCCAAGCTGTCTCCCCAGGGTCGTGACCCGGTCCGGGCTCACCTGCCCCGCGGGCTTACCTGCCGGGGCCTTGCCCTCCCCCCCCCCCCCCCCCCCCCCCGGGGGGGCCGGCCCCCCCCCCGCCCCCCCCCCGCCCCCGCCCCCCGCTCGCTGGCGGTGCGCGCGGCTCCGGCTCCGGCGGCGGCGGCGGCGGCGGCGGCGGCGGCGGAGCGCGGTGAGTTGGGGTCTCGGGGAAAGGGCCGGGGCGGCCCCTCTCCGCGCCGCAGCTCCCGGGTCGGGCAAAGCCGCCGTGTAGCCGGTTGGACGGGCGGAGCAGACGCCCCGGGGTGCGCGGGTGAGGCCGGGCTGTCGCGTTCCCGGTGACCCGCAGGCGCTCCCACCCCCGAGCGCGGTTTCCCGCCCTGTGCCCGCTAAGCCGGGCGGAGCCGGGCCGGGTGCGGCAGGCCCCGGGGGTCAGAGCCGCTCTGCGTCCCCTGCCTGGCCCTCAGCGTCTGCGGGCCCAGGGGGCATCCGTCTCAAGGGTGCTGGGGGCCACCCTGGGAGGGGTGCGGTCAGAAGGCCTGACACTGGCGTAGGGCGTGTGGCAGGAAAGCCAGCCTGGCACCCATGGCAGGCTGTCATCGGGGCTCTGCGGTCTTGCTTTGCCCAAGAACGGGCTGAGGATGGTTGGGCAGGGCCCTCTTCCTCCATCCCGCATCTCAGGGGCCAACCCCAGGCTCCTTGGACCCCACGGGGCAGGGCGTGGTCTCTGGCGGTGGTCGGGGCTTTGGGGGCCCTGTGTTCACATCAAACACAAGCCCTCCAGCCCCATTTGGTGTCCACTTACTGGGATTTGGAGGGAAAGCCTCTGGGCACCTGGCAGGTAAGTGGACTCGTGTTGTGTGCATCTGCACCCAGGACATGGCCATGAGGGTGTGGGCCCCGTGGACCCAGGGCCTACACAGCCTGCCTGCCCGTGGCCCCGGCCAGGGTGGTGTGTGTGACCCCATGTGTGAGGTGGGGTGGCTGTGTGTGTCGCTGAGTGTGGGGCCGCGTGTGTGAGATCGTATGATTTTGCACGTGGTTGTCAGCGGTCGTGTGCCTGAACTCACTGGTCTCGTCTGGAACATGAGGTGCGCCGTCACTCACGCGGATCTGACAGCTCGACAGCGGCAGTCGCCCGAGAGACGCTGCCGCACGCAGCCCCCTTGTCCCACCAAACCAGGAGTCGAGACTTGGGTGCCAAGCCGACGGCGGTGCGTGGTCGAAGCCGTGCGCCCCCGCCCGTTCCGGCTCTGCGCCCCGTGCTTGACGGGTGTGTGCGTTGTGCAAAGTTCTCTCGTCTGCAGAATAGTGAGCGTTCAGGGTGTGCAGTGTAGAGCGTGAGGGGCTTTGGGCGGTGTGCTGGGCAGCCTTTGGCTCAGGCTGGGGGCCCCTCTTGGGAACAACCTTGCGTCAAGTGGCCTGAAGAGAGAAAACCCTAGTACTCCCTCGGTCACTGCTGTCCGTGGACAGCTTGACGCGGTGGCCGAGCCGAGGCCCTGGGGGGGACCCGGGGAAGGCAGAGTGGACTGGCCGTGGCCAGGTGTGTCCCGCGCACGCCAGAGAAGGACAACAGAGGCAGGGGAAGCGGATGCGCCCGTCTGGGCTTCGCCCTCATCTGTGCAGGACCAGGAAGGAGAGGCAGGCGGGGTGCGCGCGGACGCGGCTGTGCGGTTCAGGCCGAGGCGCGGGGCTCTTGCCCCGGGAGCTGGGCCTGTAGAGCCCTTGGTGCCCCATCTCTGCAGCTCGCCTGCCTCGCCTGGACAGCAGCGGCCCATTTCGTGATCGAGAAGCCACCAGCCAAGTGGGGGAAACGTGCAAGTGTAAGAACGAACGGTGTGTGAGGAGCAGGGGAGGCGGCCTCCCCCAGGGTCCCTGGGAGGGGGCTGAACTGCCTAACGGGAGGCTGCGAGCCCCACCCAGCGTCAGGCAGGACCTTTCTGCGCGTGGCGGCCCCTCTTGCCATAAGCCCACCTCGTCTGCAGAAGCGGGGACGGAGACACGGCTGTCCCCAGCCGTGCATTTTAACACAGTCTGGGGCGTTGGCTCACGCCTGCGTACAACTCTGTTTTTCCTACTTCACCCCTTTTCATTAAAAACAACAATTTTGGAATCACTTTAATTGCACAGATGGCACGGAGGGTCCCCACACAGCCCGCACCCAGCTTCCCCTGGAAAGCCTTCCGGACCCACAGAACTAACGCTCTCGGAGGCCTCGTCCGGGTTCCCTGAGGGTTCCAAGCTCCAGTCGGAGACCCCGGATGCCATCTTAGGACCTGTATTAATTTTAAATTACACAAGTCGTTAAGTGGTTGGAGGTTTCTTTTTTTAATCTCCGAGTCTTTATCCGCTTTCCCAGGTACCACCCGTGTTTATCAGCTCCCCCGCCCGGCACACCGCGGGGTCCCCGACTCCCAGTGCCTCTGTGCGTGTTACTGACTAAGGGAGTACACGATATCATCACTGCAGATAGTTTTCTCACGAACACCTCTTCCCATGAAAACCTAACAAAAAGTCCACAGACAAAAAGGGAAAAAAAGAGCCCGAGCTTATTAAGTTTCCTGTAGGCTTGCTGAGTGATTTA